TGTTCGTGTCCCGGGTCCTGGATTTCCAGAAGACGCGTTACGCCAGGTAAAGCCGTCGGTGCGGCGGTCCCCGACCCCCGGGTGCTTGCGGGGCCCCAGGACAGCCCCAGCCCCTGCCCGGGCTCGGCTCAGCCGGGGATGGAGCCCCAAGGGACCTCCCAAAGCTGCCCAGTGCCCCAAAGCCCCAGGGCAGGGGTGGGCTGGGCTTTTGGGAGAAGGCTACCTGCTTTTCTGCATCCCTAAGGGATTCCGAGCATCCCCAAGGGATTTCGAGCATCCCTGGGACACCTCGCTGCCTTTCGCTGGCTCTGACTTCACCGTTGTCTTCCTCCTGCTGCTGGGGGACCAGGAACAGACCCCACCACCAGCCCTCTGCAGAGGGACCCATGTTGCCCAGGGGACCGAAGCCCCCTCGGGGTGGCTCTCTCAGGCTGGACCTGGGGGGTCTGCGGGGCTCCTGTGGGACGCACCAGCAGTGGATGCTTTTTCTTCTCCGTGAAATGCCCACGGAGGTTTTCTGGCAGCAGCAGGAACTTGTTTTAGCAGCTCAGGTGCGTTAGGAGACCTCACGGCGTTACCTGCGTAGGTGGAAACCTGAGGATCACTGGGCATGGGTCAGGGGGCACCTGGCCACACGCGCTGCAGCGGGATCCGATGTGGCCTTTAGCGGGGAGCTGGTGGGTGACGCGGGGACAGTGGCTGCCCGCAGCCCTCCGGCACGCTGGCTGGCCGAGGATGAGCCAGATTGCACGGCGCTGGGTGATGCATGGCCAGATGGGGTTTGGGGGGTGCTGAGTTTGCACCGAGGACGGGCTGTGCTCCCAGCTCCCTGTGACTGGGGTGGGGGATGTTTTCAGGGCTGCAGAGGGCCCCACAGGCTGGCACAGCTCCACAGGGCACCCAGCTCTGCTGCTGCCTCTGCCAGACACCTGGTGGTCCTGTTAAAGGCAGATACCAGAGAAAAACTCATCTGGAAAGAAGCAGTGATGGTATTTCTTGCTTGCTCCAGGCAGGAGCATCCATGAGGGATGTTTGCCTGGACAGGGTAAAGGCAGGAGACCTCCCTCCCACCCCCCAAGCCACCAGCTCCTCTCCTTCCAGGTGTCCCATGGTGAAAATCCATGCTTGCACCTCCAAAAGCTGCCTGAATCATGTGGACACCTGCTCAAAGACCTTTTTGATGCTGTAGCTGCCTCCTAATAACCTTTGCCTGGGGGAGATGCAGGAGGTACCCAGCAGGTCTGCACGATGCATCTGGTCCAAAACTCCTTGTGAAAGCAGAGTTCAAAACCATTTTTCCCAGGCAGCATGCAGAGGACAGGGCCAGGGGAGATGGAGCCAAACAAAGCTCTGTACCCCAGAGCAGGAGGAAAACTGTACCTTTGCCCCATGGCAGCGGTGCAGAGGCTCTTTGGAGCCGGGCAGCAGAGCAGGGCCTGCCCCCACACCTCAGTCCCCCCCAGCAGAACCCATCTGCCAACCTGTTGCTTGATTTATCCAAAATCATTGTGCTCAAACCTTGTCACGGTCCTTTCTGGAGACCACTTGTTAAATGGTGATGAGGTGTTACAGAGTGGCTTGCAGGGACAGAGCCCATGTGTGGGGCAGGGGCTGCAGGGCACTGGAAGGGTCTGGTCCACAGGGCATCCTCCACCTCTTGCTGGGTGCCAGGACTGAACGGGGAGCAGGAGGAGATGGGTGCTCCCTTGGCTTTCCCTGCAAGACACGCCAAGCTGATCCCCAGCATAAGATGCTAACCCAGAGCTTCCTACATCCCCGCAGAGATCCTCTTAGCCTAGTGCTTAAAATAACAGTTGGCTAATCCCCAACCCCCCCCCCCATTCCACAACCACCACCTCGGCTCTCT